CCTGGGCTCTAGGCTAATGTTATTTATATCTAGAAGTGACCACACCACTCCTCTCTTCATACATCTTTAATGGTTTTCTACTTCCTTCTGAGTGAAGCTCAGGCTTCTCCTCCTGGCATGCAAAGCCCTCTACAATTTGATACCATTCTGCCCTTCCCATCTGTTGCTCTTTACTCCACTCCTAGAACTCTGGGCTCTGGCTAGACTGGACACCTCAAGTCTCCTGAAGACACTAGCTCTGCTCAGCTAACATGCCTTTGCTCCCGCGGCCAATAGGTGGTGCAGTGGGAGAGCTCTGGTCCTAGAGTCAGGAAGACCTGAGTTTGAACCTGATCTCAGACACTTAGCAGCTGTTTAACCTGGGCAAGGCATTGAATCTGTCTGCCTCAGTTTCCTTATCTATAAGATGGGGATAAATTAGTGCCTAGCTCTTTATATCTCCTGCCATTTGTAGCTCAGCTCCTCCAAAAGGCCTTCTACAACAGGTGCTGCCTCCTCCTCTCCTCACCCTTTCTTATTAACCCCTTACAGTCTGGCTTCTGACCTCCTCATTCCACTGACACTGCTCTCTCCAAAGTTACTAATGGTCACTTAGCTGCCAAATCCAATAGCCTTTTCTCAATCCTCCTTTTCCTTGTTGTCTCTGTAGCCTTTGCCATTGCTGATCACTCTCTCCACCTAGACTCTGGTCCCTCTAGGTTTTCAGGATACCCTCTCTGCCCTGGTGTTCCTCTTACCTAGCTGACTGCTCCTTCTCTGTCTCCTTTACTGTATCCTCATCCAGATCCTGCCCTCTAACTGGAGGTGTCTCTGAGACTTCTGTCCCCAGGGCTCTTCTCTTCTCCCTCTATAGGACTTCACTTGGTTATCTCATCAGCTCCCAGGGATTTCATTACTGTGTCTCTGCTGATGATTCTTAAGTCCACATTTCCTGCCTCAGTCTGACTGATGACCTCCATTGTTAGACCTCCAACTACCTTTCAGACATCTCATTCTAGATGTCCAGTAGACTTCTCAAGTTCAATATGTACAAAACAGGACTCATCTTTCCCCTTATGTGCTCCCCATGTCCTACTTTCACTATGACTGTAGAGGACAACACCATCGTCCCAGCCCCTTAGCCTCACAATCTAGCAGTCATCCTGGATTCCTCACTACCTCTCATCCCCCACATCCAATCCTTTGGCAAGCCCTCTCAATTTCACCTCTGAAACATCTCTCTTATAAGCCCTTTCTCTCCTCTCACAGGACCACCACTCTAGCACAGTCCCTCCTTGCCTCATGCCTTGATTTCTGCAATAGCCTGCTGGTGGCTCTGCCTACCTCAAGTCTCTCCCCACTCCAATTCACCCTCAACCAGCCACTAAAGGGATTTTCCTAAAGTTCAAGTCTGATCATGTCCCTCTGCTACTCCATAAACACTAGTGGCTCCCTATTACCTCAGAGAGCAAATTCTAAGCGCTCTGCTCTGAATTCAAAGCCTTCCATAACCCAGACCCCTCCTACCACTCTGATCTTACATCTTTCTCCCCAATACATACTCTTCAATGCAGTGACTCAGCCTCCTGGCCATTCCACCAACAAAGCCTTCCATCTCTCAGCTCTGGGCATTCTCTGGCTGCTCCCCACGCCTGGGATGTTCTCCCTTCTCCACTCTATTAACCTCCCTGGCTTCCTTCAAGTCCCAACAGAAACCATACTTTGTACAGAAAGCCTTAGCTAACCCCCCCTTAATTCCAATGCCTTCACCTTTTATTTCTCATTTATCCTGTATGTACTGTGTTTTGTGTATATTCGTTCTCATGTTCTCTCACTCATTAGGTTGTAAGCAATGACTGGCTTTCACAAGCTCTTTTTGTATCCCTGGTGCTTAGCAGGGTGCCTGGCACATAGTAGGTGCTTAATTAATGTTATTGATTATTTATAAAGCACTTTGTCAACATTTAAGCATTCTAGAGAAGCCAGGGTTGAAGATGATGATGATGAAGATGATGATGATTCTGTGTCCTGTTAGTAGGATGCCTTCCTTCTTTCTCTTTCTATATACCTGCTCCACATCCTCTACAGCCCATCTCAGAGGCCACTGCCCACAGAAAGCCTTTCCTGGTCCCCTCCTCTCCAACAAGCCTCACTGTGAAATATTGTCTAGGACTGAGTATCATATAAAGTAAGTTTTTAATGTTTGCTGAATTTAATTGAACAGCATTTAATTTTGCACCTTGCTAATCCACTTAGCATATATTATTGATTATTTTACTTATTTGTGCATCTTACCTTCTTAGCATACACAAAGCTTCTTGAGAGCAGGCTCCTGGTTCAAAGTAAACCTCATATCTCCCTCAGCAATAAGCACAGGGCCATTTAAACAATAAGTGATTACTAAATAACAATAGCAACAAAAATAATAAGAGTTCACATTTGTATAGTGCCTTTTAGGGCAGCTAGGTGGCTCAGTGGACAGAGCACTGTGTCTAGAGTCAGGAAGACCTGAGTTCAAATTCTGCCTCAGATACTTCCTAGCTGTGTGTGCCTAGGCAAGTCACTTAACTTGTTTGCCTCAGTATCCTATCTGTCAAATGAGCTGGAGAAGGAAATGGCAAACCACTCCAGTGTCTCTGCCAAGAAAACTCCAAATGTGGTCCCGGGGAGTTGGCCAAGACTGAAACAACAGAACAAAATCAACAAGATGGTGATTTACATGAGCGATACGCATTACAAATATTATTTCATTTGATCCTCAGAACAACCCTGAGGAGTTTAAGCTCTTAATGTGCTCACTTTACAGATGATGAAACTGAGGTAGACAGAGATTAAGTGACTTGCCCCAGGTGACACATAGTGAGTGTCTGAGTCTGGATGAGAATTCAGGTTTTCCCACCTCTGCGTCTTTCAATTGAATTAATTATTGTCTGAATAATTATTCAGAAGCTCACTATATTGCATCTAATATTTTGTTTTGTATCTATATCTTTTTTCTTAAAGGCAATCAGGGTAAAATGACTTGCCCAAGGTCACATGGCTAGTAAGCGTCTGAGGTCATATTTAAATTCAGGCCCTCCCCACTCAAGGGTTGGTGCTCTATCCACTGTACCACCCAGCTGCCCCGTTTGTATATCATCTTGTGCCTCTCCCCTCACTCTCCCATAGACTATAAACCCTTTCAGAGAAAATCATTGGGTCTCCTTTTGTTTTCCCAACATCACTGGGCTGGGCACGCAGCAGACATTTAATGAATATTTGTTGTTTGACTGATGTGCATAAAATGTGGGGACAAGACAGGAGAGAAGTCCTTAGCCAGTCCACACTCTCCTAAGTACAGGGGACTTTGGTGTCAGTACAGGCCTTTTATCCCAGTTCTCTGGGTCCAGGCCAGAGAGTAGGTTCCCCCAGCCTGTCAGTGGGAAACCCCAAGCTTGAATGATCTCCCTGTGGGGAGAGCTCCAGGTGGTTCAGAAAGCTCAGAGGGACCTGGGCTTCCATCAAAGAGGGGCATCCAGCTTTCTTTGTCTTTGCTCTTTCCTTTGCTTGAGAGACAATAGGTTGAGAAAGGCCCTGAAAGACTGAGGCTAAACAGGCAATGATTGTTTGTAATCATTGTAAAATGTTTCTGGGTTTGTTGAATCTACAGCACTTTGTATTTAGGGATGATTGTGATTGTCTTCTGAGTCCATGGGATTGGGTAAGACCCTGCACCACTGGCGGCTCTGATTCCTTCCTATAGGGCCCTGAGGAAGCAGATGAAAGGACGCTCCTCATGGCTGCCCAGAGACCAGAGAGGGTTGGTCTGAACTGGGGACAAGAGCTGGGTTCAAAATGCATCCCTACCTATGGGATAAGGATGCAAATATTTGAAATGGAGAGAGGAGAAGCAGACTTTGCTTTGTGCCTGCCCTGCTGACCTGACATGGTGGGACCCACATGGGAGATTCTGGGGGCCTGAGTCAGGGAGAAGTCATTCTGTGTTTCCTTACCACTTGGGTGGGACTAGCCACTTTCTGTTGGCTGCAGAGAGGGAACAGGCTGTGTCTTAAAAAAGACTAGACTAGGATTCATTCTTTGTCTCTGTCTCTGTCTCTGTCTCTCTGTCTTTCTGTCTTTCTGTCTCTGTCTCTGTCTCTGTCTTTCTGTGTCTCTCTGTCTCTTTCTCTCCCTCTCTTTCCTTCCAGCTGTGTGCAGGGGACGTGAAAGTCCTATTCACCCATAAGATACGAGTACCACGAACTGAGCTGGGTGTGGAAGAATGTTCTTTCCCTCCCCAATCCAGGCCCCGTGTCCCTCCACAAACAGACTTAGGGTGTGGGTAGGGGCTCCTTCTAGGCACAGGTTGGGGATCCCCCACCCCACCCACACCCAAGCCATGGAGACCTTGGAGGGAAGAATCAAGCCCAGTGTTGCTGCCAGCCCAGAAGGGAAGCTCTGAGAAGAGAGCGTGCCTGGGACTTGAGTCCAAGGTGGGCTTTGGAATTGAAATTTGGTGAGACTCTACTATGTAGGAACTGGGCTAAGCTATGAACCTGAACTCCCTTCAGACCCCAACTCTGCAGAGACCGAGGCAGCCTGTGTGGGGAGGACAATGTCCTCGAGTGTCAGGGAAAGTGTCATTTGTACATTTGTTCTCATGACACTGTACAATGAAATATTACTATATAAAAGCTAACCTGACTATTAAGTGGTTACATGGAATGAGGGTACAGAAGAGCCTCTAAAATTGGGGAAGCATCATTGAGGGGGCTTGAGCCAATGACAGAGAGGCTGGATGCCCCCAACTCCATTAAAGGTCCAGAGGACCCTGAGGGGCTGAAAGATAACAGACCTGGCCTTCAGTCAGTGGGGCCTGGGCTGGGTGGTCCCTGTGACAGAAATACTGACCCACAACGCAGTTGTGAGACTCCAGTGAAACAATGTATGGAAAGTTATACACTCTAAAGATCTGGGCCAATGCCAATGTCTGAAGGTCCCTTCCAGCTCTAGAGAGAATCCATGACTCATGTAGGACCTACCTGATACCTGAAGGTCAAAGCTGGTTTCGTTGTAAAAGGAGCCTGTCTGGAAATAACACGTGTACTGGCCAGTGTCAGAGAACTGAACCTGATGGATGCTCACGGTCACCTTCCCCTCAGCCATGTCCTGTCTCAGCATCTTTGTCCTCCCTTGGAATGCAGGGGCCTGGACTTCCTCCATCTCCTGGCCCATGCGGTACAAGTGCACAACCAGTGGACCTCTGACCCACTTCACAATCATTCCCCGAGCATCCATCTTAGGGGAGAGGTAACAGGAGAGCTGGACATCTTCCCCCACCCAGGCCCGGATGGGCTGGAACAGAGGGCCAGATACTGTGAATGTGCCTGTGTGGAGAACCAGGGACAAAGACCAGAGAATCAGAGAACACTGGGGCAGAGGAGTTAATATGGCCTTCAGAGCAGGGGTCAGGGCAGCCCAGGACCATGGAGCTCTGAATGCGTTCCTGCTCAGGGGCTGCTCTGCTTTTAGCCCCTCTTTGGCGAAATTGCTTTCCACACTATGACACATCTGTGAGATGGAGACAAGACATTCTCCCCCTTCACTACCTTGTATATTCAGGGAGCCAGGGCAGCTGATTGGGGGCTGAAAGTTTGGGGTGGAGGCAAGAAGGAAACAGCTGCTGTCAATGGCCCCATGGAGGCACCAGCCTCTGCCGCACCACTGAGGCTGCCTATAGATAACACAGACCAGGCTTCTGGGCTGGTGTTGGACTTGCCCTCATTCTGTAGCTGTGCAGCTGAGTGTTTTAGAAGGAGGCTGGGCCAGAAAGCTGTGGGAGACCTGTGTGGGACAGAGCAGTGCAGCTCAGTGGGGGAGGAGGAGCGTGATTATGGAAACAGGGCATTACTGTAGTGATGGCATCCTGGGTTACTGGGCCTGGAGGGAAAGGATTTGAGTTCAAATGATAGCTCTGTTATTGACTAGCTCTGTGACTTTGGACAAATCACTAGACCTCTCTGGGCCTTTGTTTCTTCAGTAAAATAATAGGTTTGAATTTAATAGTCTCTGGGGCCTTTTCCAGTTCTAAAACTCTGATTCTATCTTTGTATTCCCTTTAAGGCAACTAGGTGGCACAATGAATAGAGCACTAGCCTTAGAATCAGGAGCACTCATCTTCACAAGTTCAAATCTGAACTCAGATGCTGTTTGACCCTGGGAAAGTCACTTAACCCTGTTTGCCTCAATTTCCTCATCTGTAAAATAAACTAAAGAAGGAAATGGCAAACAAGTACAGTATCTTTGCCAAGAAATCCCAAGTGGGGTCACAACGGGTCAGACACTACTGAAATCAATCAACAATAACAAAATTCCCTTTCGTTGTATGTGTCATTGGGGAGAATCTCCCTGAAGCTCTTTGGTACAGAGCTCACAAGAAAGCTGGGGTCTTTTCCTTTGTCAGAAGGGAAGAAACAGCTGTTCCCTCAGTGACGCATTCTAACTTTCCTATTTTCTTGGGTGGGTCTGGATCAGAAGAGATGAGACCCTTGTGTCTGTGGATGACATCTGTTCCGACAACCTCACTCACACACAGGTCAAGAGGGCAGGTCCTAGTGTGGACACCAGCACCCTCAGAAGTCTGCCCATCAGAGGGAGGCAGCAGTGGGGATTGGTCAGTGCTGGGATGGAAGGCAGAGCTCCAGGATGCAGACTGCATCAAGCACTCATCTCATTGACACTGCTGGCCCCGGGCCTCCTGGAACCCCCGGCAGAGCTTTCTAGGTGAAACCTCCATCCAGGTCCCGGCTTCCTAAGTGCCCTGTGTGTGGCGTCTCCATGAGAAGCTCTGGGTCCTGGCCTGGCTTGGCCTGAGGTTTTGCTCCACTTCTTTCAGTCCTGCTCTTCCTTCCCCAGAGTTGGCTTTCCTTCAGGCCCAGGGATTTAACAAAAAAGTCAATCTTAGTTGGTAACATTCTGATGGCTTTTGTAGATTGCCTGGCTAACTGTGGTAGCTCAGGATCCCTGCTCCCAGAAAATAACGTCACTTGCAGTATTTTGAAAATTTTTAGAAATTGCCATCAGTTCCTTGAGTGTGAGCTTATATTCCCAAAACTCATTTTGGGGAGTGCCTAACATTTTCCATCAGATATGTGTGCATGGTCCAAGCTCCTACTGTTTATTTATATTTATATAGATACACATACATGTGTGTATCTATATAAACATATACCTAGCAGGAATATGGATGCAAATGTGTATATATATATATATATATAGATAGATAGATAGATAGATAGATATAGATATAGATATAGATATGATATTCTATATATATATGTATATGTGTGTGTATATATATATATATATAAAACATCTGATTACATATGTATATTTGCCAGCCAAAAAAGCATGGATTCTTCATGGATTATATTCCAGGTTGGCAAAAATTCCAAGGTTTTCCTATATCATGAATATTTAATGTGACCTGTTAGCAGAGCAGAGAGAAATTTAAAATGCCAAAGTTTAGATGGATCCTCAGAGATATTTAAAGCCCTTCTATATTGCTCTCATAGACTCCTTATATTTTGTACAAGAATATCAAAAGTTTCCATTCTCTTCAAGAGTTGAACTGAACAGTGACTTAGTCTCCCACATTACTGACAAGTTTGAGTCCCTATTATGAGAGATCTTGCTATTCTATGTCTCCTTCCCTCAGGGCCCAGTAACATAAGGGCTTGAACTGAATGAGATCCCTTCCATCTCCACAGTTTTCTATTACTATCTTGCAGACAGTGGTGGAGGTGCCTAGGAGGGGGACAATGACCCTGACATCAGTGACCATAGATTTTGTATCTCTGCTAGTGTTACAACAAAAACTTTTGAGTGTAATAGGGGTTAAATAAGTGTTTCTTAAATTGATGGTTTAATTGAATTGAAATATCAGTGAGTAGTGATATGTGGCAGCCACAGTGGCAAAGACTAAAGTAAACTTACCTGAGCTAGGAATACCAGAAAACTCAAGGATGAGGAGCATGAGGTATAAACATAGAGTAAGGCTGTTGTAGGAAGCTGGCTGGTAATTCCACTTCATGGTCCAATTCATGGCTGTCAGGAACCCAACCAGTTAGATACTAAGAACCATTAAGGATGTTGGCAGTGAAGAGCAGGATAATAGAGCCAGAAAACAATTCCCACTGACCTCTTAGCCCTAAGAACCAGGAGTGTTGTCTCAGAGTCTGGGCTGCCACACATTAAAGGGCACAGAGCTGTGGTCCAGCTTGTGTCCACCCCACCTCATCTCCCCTCCCTCATACAGATCCCTCATGTCAGGCTGGTCCCCACATACCCCATATTCATTTGAACTCCACAGCTCAGCTCACACTATTTTTCCTAACCTATAATGTTCTCCCTCTCCTTTCTATTTATTCCAATACTTCATGGTCTAACTCAATGGGCCACCTGCTCCCTGAAGACTTGTTACATTAACTTCTTGCTCACTGATCTTCTATCTCTGTGTTTCACTTCAGGATCTCAGCAGCTCACATGGATTCAATGATTTCCTCTATGCAGAGGCCTCTCAGCTTCACTGATCCAGCCCTAACCTCTCTCCTGACCTCTAGGGGCTATTGGACACTCTGAACTGGATGTCCCATAGACATTAAACACAACTTGTCCAAAACTGAAGTCACCTACTCTGTACCTGATACTGTGGTAGTTCAGTCTTTTCTCTCTTGTCTGACTCGTCCTTACACCATTTGGGGTTTTCTTAGCAAACATATTAGAGTAGGTTGCCATTTCCTATTCATGCTTATTTTCAGATGCGAAGGAGGCAAACAGGATTAAGTGACTTACCCAGAGCCACACAGTAAGTGTCTGAAGTGGTAGTTGAACTCACGTCTTCCTGCCTCCAGGCCCAACTCTCTATCCTCTGCAACACCTGGCCGCCCTAAAAAGCACTATGCAAATGCAAGCTATTATTTTTGTTGTTTCTATTATTATTTGTTACCCACCTGCCGTTTTCGTTTTGGCCCTGAGCTTACAGCTGGGAGATAACAATGTTTACATTAAACCGTGCTGTCAAGAAACTTTGTTTATAGTAAGAAAATAAGACACACAAATAACTATAGTAACCAAAGATACAGGAACTTCCAGTGCAGAGTAAGGCAGAAACTCCCTGAGCCCACCCAAATTTCCCTTCCAAACCACCTTTCAATGAAGTTTCAGAACCAATTTTGGAGCAGTGGAGAAGCTTACCAGCCCAGCAACAGCATGGAGGGTAAGCAGAAAAGATCTGTCTCGGCTTAGATTCTTATAACCTAGCCACTGCTTACCCATGTTCAGACTCCTTAAGAGTCTGCCCAATATGATGGATGTTCTAATAAACCTTGTCTTTGGCTGAAAAAAAAAAAAAAGAAAAGATCTGTCTCACTGGTGTAGGAGGAAGTTTGGTTTTTCTGAGAAAAGGAGAGAACAAAACCACACATATCTCAAAATTTTCAGTGAGGCAAAACCCCAGTCAGGTTCTGCCCCTTGTAAAAACCAGCCTTGAGGGGGTGTTCCAGGGGATGTGATGCAGACAGAGATAAAAATAGAATAGCCTGAGGTCAAAGGAGAATGGTAAAAATCTGGAATAGCTGCTGAGGGAAATAGGGAGTCAATGAAAAAGAAAGGATTGTCCTGTGGTATAAGAGAGATACTGATAATTAGAGAAGAATTGGCCTGGAATTGAGTTGGCCTAGTGGGTTAACTTTTTCTGTAGCACAGGAACTGAAACAGACAGAGCACATGGTGGCCTTGTGATAGATGACTAATTGAAATCCTATTTCATTCAAATCAGTATTAATCAGTTTGGTATCATTCTATGGGGTGGTGATTCTAAGTTCTGATAGTAGACTGTAAGTTCACTTGTTTAATCACAGGAAGGCTAACTAGAGGACCTCTACCCTTGTTTTTCCTTGTCATTGTGACTCAGCCCAGAGTGGCTGAGGTGACTCAATGACATAGAAAGCCCCTCAGCTATTTTTGTTGCCCCACCAACCTTTCTCATCCCACTATTGCCCAACAAGGGGAAATGACCATGAGCGCTTGACCAACGACTGACCCTGGTTGCCTGCCTGTGGCCTGCTTTTTTCCTAACCCATCTGTCCATGTGAGTATTTTGATACCTGTTTACCAACCCATCTCATGGGTCTGCTCATTGACTTGCTAGGACCTCCTGAAAGGTCAAGATAGGCCTGTTAAGGTCTGCTAATTAGCCAGTTTGTCAACCAATGGGATTCTGTGTTTTAGGTAGACCCTCCTAGATAGTCACAGGCAAGATCTAACAACCAATGAGATTCTGTATTTTTGGTCTGCTTCACTTGTATTGTCAAGGTATCAACCATGATAAAACTAAGACCCTGGAGGAAGGGGGCATCTCAGATCATGAGGAAGATCTGAGGTTGACTTCATTAGAGGGCACCATGAACCTATTAATAAAGTGCCATTGACTCAGAGCTCTGCCTCAGTGGTTTTTCTTGCAGATTAGACAATTTTGAAAACCCCCATAGTGGGTAACCCAGGGCTGAGGATTGCAGGGCAGGAGCAGCAGTAGGACAAGGCGCAAGGAATTCCAGGTTGGAGGGCACTGCATGGCTGACCTCTTTAACAATAAGGACAAGATGGTACAGGGAGAGAGGTGGGCCCTGGAGGAGAGAGAGGAGTGGGGTGGAGGTGAGATTATGAGTCATGTTGAGTAGGAAGAGCAGGTTTCAGAGGAGAAGGGCAAGAGCATGAAGGAAGGACAGGAGGCCAAGATCAGCGATGGGTCAGAGAGGAGAAATTTGGTTTTTTCTTTCTCGGGAGCTCCCATTTCTTTAGTGCTGTCAAAACTACATAACTTTGGCCTCACAATAACCCTGGGAGGCAGAATTAGGAAGAAGGGAAGGAGGCAGGAAGGGGAGGAGGGAGGAATGGAAGTGATGGGGTAATAGGACCTGGACCCTAGCAAAAGACCATGTCTTTGAAAGCAATCCAGTCCCTGAATTTTCCCATACATTTCAGTAGCCCAGATCACAGGTGCCTGCGCCTAAGGTAACTGTCCCACCACAGTCCACCTAGATCACCTAATTAGCTTGCTTGACATTCCTTTCACTGTCCCTCTTGTCCAACTCCAGACTACTTGCATATACTTACCACTCCTTAATCCCATATAGATCACCAGAATTAGCCTACTTGATATTTCTTTCACTGTGGCACCTGGCCCACCCCAGACTTCTTAGCTCTACTTAATTCTTTCCAGATCCTTTCACAGTCCTTTTTGTATATAAGCATCAATCTCACCCCCATTAAGTTGAAGATTCCCTAAGAATCTTGCCTACTCCTGGCAATTGCCTACTATTGGCAATACAATAAACCTTGCCACTTAACTGGAAGAAGGTTTGAGTGAGTGAATTCTTTCCAGGAGGACATCACCCTATAACCTGACATTTGGGTGTTCCTAGCAACCCCAAATAGCATCAGAAGGAAAGAAGGAAGGAAGGAAGAGAAGAAAGAAAGAAGGAAAGGAAGGGAAGGAAGGAAGGAAAGAAGAAAAGGAAGGGAAGTAGGAAGGATAGGAAGGCAGGGAAGAAAGGATGAAAGAAAAGAAACGAAGGAAGAAAAGGTAGGAAGGAAACAAGTATTTATTAAGCCCCTATTATGTATCAGGCACTGTGATTATGTGCCTTTTCAATTATTTTCTCATTTAATCCTCACAACCATACTGGGAACTAAATGTTATTATTATTCCTAATTTATGGTTGAGGGAACTGAGGCAAAGAGAAGTTAAGTGATTTTCCCAGAGTCATACAACTAGTAAGTGTCTGAGGTCAGTTTTGAATTCACTTCTTCCTGACTCCAGGCCCAGAACTCTATCCATTGTGCCATATCACTACCTGCCTGGAAGGAAAACAAAGAATGAAGGGACCAATCCTTTATTAACTGCTATGTGCCAACCTGAGCAGTTAGGTGGCAGAGTGGATAGAGTGCTGGTTTAGTGGATAGAGACCCATGTTTGTAACTTCAAATTTGCCCTCAAACACTTAATAGCTGTATGACCCTGGGCAATTCACTTTACCCTATTTACCTCAGTTTCCTCATCTGTACAAATGAGCTGGAGAAGGAAATGGTAAACCACTCCAGCATCTTTGCCAAGAAAAGCTCAAGAGTCAGACATGACTGAACAACAACAACAATATCATTTCCAGTTGGGTTGAAGGCAAACCATCTTGTATTGAAGGAAAGTGAGCCAAAGAGAAGAGAAAGTAGTTCCCCAAGGTTATAGAGTTTCTAAGTATCTGAGCCAGGAGCTTTCTTTTTTTTTTTTTTGATAACTTTGTGGTTTTAATATAGTTTTTTTTTTTTTAGTTAGGCAATGGGTTTTTTATTTTTTATTAATTAATTTATTTTGATTTATCAACAATCACTTCCATATGCTTTTGAGTTTAAAATTTTTCTCCCCCTTCCTCCCCACCACCCTCCCCAGGACAATGCCCAATCTGATATAGGCTATATATATATACATTCTTACTAAACATATTTTCACATTAGTGATGTTGTAAGTAAAAATGAGAACCAATAGGAAGAACCACAAGAAAGAGGAAACAAAACTCAACAGAAGAGGAAAAAAAATAGCAAATAGTATGCTTTGATTTGCATTCAAATTCCACAGTTCTTTCCCTAGATGTGGATAGCAATTTCCATCACAAGGCTTTTGGAGATGTCTTAGATTGTTGTATTGCTGGGAAGGGTTAAGTTTATCAATATTAGTCATCATACAATGTGACTGTTACTGTGTACAACATTCTCTTGGTTCTGCTCACTTCACTCAGCATCAGATCATTCTTTCCAGGTTTTTCTGAAGTCAACCTGTTCATCATTTCTTATAGCACAATAGTATTCCATTACATTCATATACCACAACTTGCTCAGCCATTCCCCAATTGATGGGCATCCTCTCAATTTCCAATTCTTTGCCACCACAAAAAGAGCTGCTATGAATATTTTTGTACATGTGGGTAGGAGCTTTCCTTCTTAATTGTTTTCTTGTTATTCTTTCCACTTACATTGTTGTGCTCTTTGTGTCTGTTATTCTGCTGCTTCTGCTTACTTCACTTTGCATCAGTTTATCTAAGTCTTCCCACACTTCTCTGTAGTCATCTTACCTTAGCCCACATGAATATTCCATGACTTTCATTTATTCCAATTTGTTTCACCATTCCCCAACCAGTGGGTATCTAACTCTTTTATTTCCTGTTCTTGGCCATTCTCCAAAATGTTGTCATAAATATTTTGGTACATATGGAGTCTTTTTTTTTTTTTTTAAATAATTTACCTACTTGGGCTGTCTGTCCAGCAGTGAGATTTCTGGGTCAAAGGGTTTACTTTTTTGAGTCACTTTCTAGAATTTTGAAGCCTAGACATACCTTGAGCAGCAGGCCATTCATGTGCTTGTCTTTCCATGACTTTTCAAACACCTGTACTATCATTTTTGTCATCGTTACTGACGTAATGATGTGAAACTGAGTGTGAGGTGAAACCTTGGAGTTGTTTTGATTGGCATTTCTCTTATTAGTGATTTGCAACAATGTTCTATAATGTTGATTGTAAGTACAATTCTTCTGAATCCCAAGGGTTTCTCTTTTGTCTGCTCAGTACTGTTATGCTTATAATTCCAAGTATTTCTTAAAGAATCTTGCATTTCCAAACCCTGGAGTGCACTCACTGTCCCCATGGAAACTGCTTCTCTTCTGTATCCATTTTACAGGATGATCCTGATGAAAGTTCTTTTACAATCAAAGTTCTTTTACGATCTTAAATGGAAGCTCTGAGATTTGAATTGGCAGAGTCCTTAGGGAGAGATCATCTATTCCATCCGCTGCCATTAGAGGGAGGATCCTGAAACTCCGCAAGGTCACCTGGGGGTCTAAGGTCACATCAGCAGTGAGAGACAGACTTGGAACTTCACCCAAGATTCTCTGTACCCAAAGTCAGCTCTCTCTCTGATAAATCAAAATGAGAAATTAATCCATATGTGTTAGAATTGAGTTTATTTTTCACAGAAGGGTGCTATTGATGTAGAAAGTGCAACAGTTAAGAGATTGTTTACCTTATGCCTGCCTTTATCAGGAAACCAAATCTAAGGAAAACCAAGTCTTCAAGTTTATGTAGCCACAAACAGGCATCTGTACCCTTTGTTAGGGAAAGCTGAGTTCAAATATAGCCTCAGACACCAACTGGCTGTGTGAATTTAGACAAATCTTTCAAGCTCTGACTCCTTCAGTTTCCTCGTTTGTAAAATGGGGATAATAGTATCTACCTCCCATGGT